CAGGTTGTTTTATCTGTGCTTCTCAAGACCACTGATAAATTGGTATTCCCACCACACCCTCCTGCAGTTCAACTAATTTGCTAGAGTGGCTCAAAGACTTAGGGAACTGACAACTTCCAGGGAGGGGAAGGGGCTGATAGTTAAGTTGTTATCAGAAGTCAATGATTTAATCAACCATGCCTACATAAGGAAGCCTCCATAAAACCCCAAAAGCACTGGGTTTGGATGGCTTCCAGCTAGCTCAACGTGTGGAGGTTCCTGAAGGGTGACTCGCAGGAGAGAGCAATCAAATATTCGCCCTTCTTCCATACCTGGCCCCATGCATCTCTTCCACCTGGCTATGGATCAGTATCCTTCCCTAATATGCTTTATGATAAACCAGCACAATTGATAACAAAGTGTTTCCTAAGTTCTGTGAGCCTCTCTAGCAAATTAGTTGAACCCAGGAGGGGTGGTGTTTCTTTTAGTAGTTTCATAATTTCAGGTCTTAGATTTAAGTCTTTATTCATTTTGATTTGATTTTGTATATCATGTTTGTTCTGCGTATGGAGATCCAGTTTCCCAGCACTATTTATGAAGAGACTGTCCATTCCCCACTGTATGTTCCTGGCACCTTTGTCGAAGATAATTCTCTGTAGATGTGTGGATTATTTCTGGGTTCTCTGTTCTGTTCCATTGGTCTATGTGTCTGTTTTTATGCCAATACCATGCTGTGGTACTACAGCTCTGTAGTATAATTTGAAGTTGAGTACTGTGATTCTCAGTTTTGTTCTTTTTGCTCAGGATGGCTTTGGCTATTCTGGGTCTTTTGTGGTTCCATATAGACTTTAGGATTTTTTTTTTCTATTTCTGTGAAGAATATCATTGGTATTTTGATGGAGATTGCATTGAATCTGTAGATTGCTTTGGGTAGTGTGAATATTTTAAGAATATTGATTGTTCTAGTCCATGAGCATGGAATATCTTTCGTTTTTTTTGTATTCTCTTCCATTTCTTTCATCAATATTTTATAGTTTTTATTATAGAGATCTTTTACTTCTTTGGCTAAGTTTATTCCTAGATATTTTATTTTATTTGTAGTTATTATAAATGGGATTACTTTTGTGGCTTCTTTTTCATATTGTTTACTGTTGGCGTATAGAAATGCTACTGATTTTTGTATGTTGATTTTGTATCCTGTAACTTTACTGAGTTTATCAGTTCTAGTAGTTCTTTTGTGCTGTCTTTATGTTTCTCTAGATATAAGATCATATCATCTACAAACAAAGATAATTTGACTTCTTTCTTTCCAATTTGGATTCCCTTTATTTACTTATCTTGTTTGATTCCTCTAGCTAGAACTCCCAGTACTATGTTGAATAACAGTGGTGAGAGTGGGCATCCTTATTCCAGGTATTTTTTATATTATTAATTTAGTACCCCTAAACATGAGAGTTACGTAGTGGGATTTTCCTGTTCACTTACTAAGGCTCAGAGAGCCTTATGGAACAGATTGCCCCAAGCTTGTCTGTACCCTACTATGATAATCAGCTTGGCACTTTTGTTTGGTCATAATTTTTCTCTGTGCCTGAGTTCTATTTTCCCATAGTTATCCCACTTAAGCCTTCCTGTTTCACATTCTCCCTTGTGTATCATAATCAGGGTTCTGAATTCTACATTCTGTAGAAGGAGAATAATGGATAACTTTCTCCTTTATGTGGTAGAATTAAATTTAAATGAATTCTTACTGCTTAGACTTGCCAGTTGTTTGAGGCTTTCTGTGATATGCTCATTCTTTTTTTCTTTTGGAAAAGAGGAAGTTGGGAAGAGGTCAAAAATAGGATGGTATTAGAGCCCAAGTGAGTTAGTTGAAAGGGGTCAGAACTAGGATGAAGAGGGGTTAAAGGAATGCTTTAAGGAAAAAAAATGTTTAAGTAGGCTTACTTTCTTATTTTAACTGTATGAAAATATACTTTATTAAACTAGCAATACAAATACTTTAATAGTATCTTATTTAAGCTAATTGGCCTTGCTAGCAGAATTTGATATGTATATTATCAAGTTCTTGATGGCTTTATATTTGATGCCAATGACAAGTTAGATAAGTTGCAGTACTTTAGTGTCCTCTGGTAATTAATTAGAAGTAAAGTGAACTAGGTATTCCTGAACAGTAGGTAAAGGGATCTAGAGACAGAAAGATCCACTAGAAAATACTCTCACCAACATGAAGGACTATGTTCAGGTACCTGCAGCTGAACTCGAAAAGCCTTATGAATATACTTCAACAAGGGAGTCGACCACATTTCTATACTTAAGTAGGTGCAGTGATTTTATTTTACTTGTGATATTCATGTATACAGTACTCTCTTATGTAAAATATATAGAGTAATATCTTTTGTGATTATTATTGCCAGTCATTTCAACCTTTTATCGTCTTCAATATAATTTTATAGAGACCTGAGTAAATTGAAAATTGTGTGTCTGCTTTATAGTGGGTAGCTTTTCATTTATAATAAATGGTCAAGAAGGTGTTTTTGTTTTGTTTTGGGCCTTCCTGAAAAACCCACTATGATCGTTTTATTTCCCTATATGGCAGTGTAGTCCTCATCTGTTAGGCACACACATTCCTGCAATCATGTTCTTTGGTCATGATTTGTAGAAAGCTAAAATGTTTAAAGTAATTAGATATTGTCTGGTACTTTTCTGGTTCCAAACGAAGTGTAGAATTATTTTTTCTAAATCTGCGAAAGATGATGTATTTTGATGGGGATTGCATTGAATCTATAAATCACTTTGGGTAGTATGGACATTTTAACAATGTTGATTCTGCCAATCCATGAGTATGATATGTTTTTAACAACATCTGCAATTTCTTTTTTCAGTGATTTCTCTTTCTCTTTTCAGAGATCTTTTACCTCCTTGGTTAAATATATTCCTAGGTATTTTATTTTCTTTGTTGCTTTTGCGAAAGGTATTGAGTCTTGGATTTGATTCTCAGCTTGACTGTTGTTTGTGTATAGGAATGCTGTTGATTTTTGTACATTGATTTTGTAGCCTGAGACTTTACTGAATTTATTTATCAATTCCAGGAGTCTCTTGGCAGAATCTTTGGGGTTTCCTAGATAAAAGATTATATCGGCAGCAAAGAGTGATAGTTTGACCTCCTCTTTCCTCATTTGGATACCCTTAATTTCCTTCTCTTACCTGATTGCTCTGGCTAGGACTTCCAGCAGTATGTTGGTACTTGAATTTAGTGTGACAGTTCCCTCTAAAGTTAGGAGATCTGCATTGTAATCACAGCTCCTCACATCCTTACCAGTTGTGTGATATTGGGCAAAAATCAGCCTCTCTATGCTTGTTTCCTCGTTATCCAGTGGAGGTGATAATAAGAACCGTGCAGTTGCTATAGGAGTGAATGGATAATGTTATGAAGTCCTTAGTAGATTGCTGTGCATGTCATGCTCAGAAAATTGCATTTACCCCTACTAATACTGATACTTTCATTGAAAGCTTTTTGTGAACTGTGTGTGAAATGTATTATGATTTTTAAATGAGTAGTTTACAGCAAAGGTTTTTGCATTGTTGGGAATACTGTCTTAAGGGCCGTTGATCACATTCTGCTTACCCTTCTCTTACTACATTTCTAATAATAGCTACCATTCTATTGCGTTCTTACTTAATAAGAACTTTATATATGATTTTATTTATTATTCACAATAATTATGATGAAAGCATTATTACAGCTATTTTTACTGATGAGGACACCACAGGTGTAGTAACACAGATAATCTGCCTGCCCAGCTGGACAGTAGAAGACCTTGGATTGCATTCACATTTGTCTGACTCCAAAGCTCTCCTCCTCTTTACCTTGGAGCAACCTGTTTGGCATTTTGCTGCTTGCTTATGTCTCCCTCAGTAGACCTAAGCTTCCTGAAAGTGAGAAGTGGATACTATTTGTGTTCCAATTTCTCATTTATTTTTCAGGCTCCTTTAAACTAAAAGCAATATATAGTATATAATATCAGAAAGTGTCAGTGTAAATGAAACTTAATAGCTTATTAAGAACCTTCTCTTATTAAAAATAACAAAATTTCCCATTCTGACAAAGCATTAGGACTTGTTTTTCAACCCTACTGCCTGTCTTCACCGTGATAACAATTTGAATTTACTATATTTGGCCTTGTATTAGTGTTAGCAACGTATTCACTGTAATCTTCTTTTCAGGTTCTAAGCTGCTTTCATCATCGCAATATCGTACCTGGCTCTGTTCCTGTGTGATAACCATTTAATACATATTTGTTTTTCATTTATTTCTGTTACTAATAATATTTATCTGAAGTATTTTTAGGTTATTCTAATTGCTTGGAATTCATCAGTAAGCAAAATAGTCATTCCCACCTCCATCTGAACTTATGTCCTGGTGAGAGGAGAGAGATGAACACCAATAAGTACAATAGGAAAAGCATTTAATATGTTCGGTGATAAGTACTATGGGAAAAAGAAAGTAGAGCAGGGTAAGGGTTGGTTAGAGAGGTTCATGTGAAGAATTAAAGGAGGTGACAGAGTTAGTGTGGCAGATCTTTGAGCTCGTTCCAGTCCAGGGGAACAGAGAACAAAGATCCAAAGGAGGTTGCCTAGCTCATTGGGATTAGCAGGGAGACCATGGGGCTGGCGTGGAGTGGATTGGAACAGGAGGGCGGGGATGTACAGGGAGTCATAAGAGATGAGATCAGAAAGGAGCTAAAGGGGGTTCAGACTATATTATTGCTTTATAGGATGAATTTGGTTGAGGGGTGTGTGTATCACATAGAAATTCTTAGAAGCTGCATGTCTGTGAAGGGGATAAGAAATTTAACTTTCTCTTTTCTTAGTCACACATTGAATTTGTATTCTTTTTTCTATTTGTGGCAGTTTGAACTTTTTCTCTTATTTTAAATAGTTCATTAATATTCAGAAACTTGAATTTCTAGGTCAGTTTATAATATTAATACTCTCTATACTTTTCTTTTTTTTTAAAACAGGAGTATGTTGCTGCTGTTCTGCTTTGCGTCCTCGATATAAACGCCTGGTGGACAACATATTCCCTGAAGATCCAAAAGTAATTTGATCTACATCTACTGATCCTTCTCTTTGCTGACCCATTCTGCCCCCCTGCTGACCTCCCTAAGGTTTCCCTAATTTCATTTCTCTACTTTTACCCTTACCTCTCACCATGAATACTATTTATATACTTCTCTTTTTTTCTTTTTCTTTTTCTTTTTTTTCTTTTTTTTTTTGCTTTTAAATATCCCATGCTTGCTTTTCTGGTTTCCAGATCCTTTTATAGATTAGGCACAAATCTGGAATGATGGACAGTTGATGTCCTTTTTTAGTGCTTAATCTAAGTAACACTCATTAAAAATTTATGAACCAGTGCCAGATTATTTATACTAAATGCTTAGGATACAACTGTGAACACAGACATGGTTTTCTGCTCTCATCAAGCACATAGATAAGTAAATTGGTAATTACAATATTGTGTGAAAAAAATGTTATGATAGAGAAATGAAGTATAGACTGCTTCTGGCGTGGCTAGGAGTGATATCTAATTTAGTTGAAGAAAAGAAATGCCTGGAGGGAATAAAATTTAAGCTAAGAGCCAAAAAATAAATGGAGATTATTGAGCCCAGAGTTTTTAGAAGACTTGAGAGGGAAAGGAAGATTGTTCCAGGCTGAGGTTTTTTTTTCTTTTTACTTAAATACTGTTTAATTTTTTAATAAAAATTATTTGTGAAGATTACTAGTTTCAAAGCAAGTGGGTTTCAGTGATTTTGTGACATTGCCTTAAACTTTATAAGACTCCTTTAGTCTTGTGTTAAGTGGATATGAACAAAAAATGTTACATGGGTTTTGACTTTCTGAATTTGCTGTATTTTAAAATGTAAACCAACTGTAGAAATCTTTTGGTTATCTTAATATTAACTTAATGTTGATATATCTCATTTTGAATCACTTCTATTTAACACATTGACTGCCACACTAGAACAAAAAGATTTTTTCTTGGGGCCATGGTATTTTATTATGAAAACAGAATAAAAACTTCAAAAACAGAATGACCTTTCTAATTTAATGAAAAACAAAATTTATTGACTTCTATTCATTTAATCCACATTTTTAGAATTAATTTTTCAGTATTGATTGTAACAATAAGAACATTAACAAGTAAGATTTTCATGAACCAACTCCAGGGTTTTGCCCAGGTTTTCCTTCACGAGGCCTCGGGCTCAAAACCAGCCTGAGTTAAGTACAACTCACATGGCAGTTAATGTGTTAAACATTCAGCTATATAGAGGAGATTAATCAATTAAATATTATTGGCTGCCAGATATTCTGGATAATTTGTGGCATATTAAAAACCCTAAGTAGGGTACCTGTCTTTAAGGACCTTTCCATCCATTGACTGACATAAAGCAAAGACATACTATTAAGTCATAGTGCATAAATCAAGAAGTAAAATGTGAAGTAAATCAGGTACCTCTAAAGCAGGGAGATGTCACTGTGAGTTGGCAATGTCTGGGAAGCATTCTTAGAGGAAATGAGATTTGCTGACCTTTGAAGGATGTATACCATCTGGAGAGGTAGAAAAAAATTAATCTCTTCATTACAAGTGAAGGGAAAGAGAAAAAGCTTGGGAAAGCAAGAGCTACATTAGAGTTCTAGAGCAAGTTAATCCATTAGACTTCAAATGAAGGTTCACGTAGTCTAATTTTAGAGTGTGTAATGGGTGGTAATAATGTTGACCATGATTTGAAACTTTGGATGTATCAGTCAATAGATTGAATAGTTAAATTATGATATTCCTGAGGCATCTGAGACATATGGTTACTGAAGGTAGTGTGGAGGCCAGATTATGGAAGAATGTGAATAACAGGCAAGGCATCTACTTTACCTACTTAAACTTGTAGAGAGCAAGGATGCATTGACCACTTGGTCATGGGAGTGACAACAGATAAATTAGAGAATGGTTACAGAAAGAATCTTTATTTTTGCTAAGGATTTAGATAAGATTTATTAAAACAGCAATCTGTAAAATAAGATTTAAAAAAAGAAAAGATTTACATGAAACTGGCATACATATAGTAACTATTATTCAATTTGCCATACTTCTCATTTTTAACTTATTAAAACAAATGAATCTTGTGATTCATTTGTTTCAGACAGTAGGTGCTCAAATACAGATAAATACATGGATCAGACAGTAGGTGCTCAAATACAGATACATACATGTCAGGAGGGAAAAAAACAGTATCTTATAGATAGTTACTAGCCATATGACCTTGGGCAAGTCCCTCAGTTTCTCATTGTGCAATGGAAATAATAAATAGTACCTATCTCATAAGCTTCTCACGAGGACTCAATGAGTTAATAATACAAGCCTTTGCTCACTGTTGCTTTCCTACTGTCTATTACAGTGCCAGGCCCATAGTTGGATTAGGGATTTTCATCTGGTTAAGTATCTATAAATATTCCAAAACCCCAAAAATCCAAAATCAAAACACTTCTGTTCCCAAACATTTCAGATAAGGGATACTCAACCTGTATCTTGTTTGTAGTGGTTTCACAGATCGATAGAACTCACATTTCAAGTTGTATACTTTGTATAGATGCAGTTTATTATATGTAAATTATTCCTCAATGAAATTCATAAGAGATTAAAAAAAGTAGATGAGACATATTTAAATGATGATGTAGAAGAACTGATAGAAAGAAGCAGGAATGAGAAAGGCTAACTGAAAGAGGCAGATCCTGGGACTGTGTGCAAAAGGCAGCTAGAGCAGAGGCAAAGCAGTTCCTCCTAGACAGGAAAACTGGGCTTACTTTGCTAGGGCAGGGTTTCTCAACTTAGGTTCTGTTGACATTTTGGTCCAGATAATTCTTTACAATGGGAGTCTATCCTGTGCATTGTGGGATGTTTAGCAATATGCCTGGCCTCTGCCTAATAGATCCCATTACCTGCTATGAGCCCTCCCCCAGTTCCACCCCCAGCTGTGACAACCCAAAATTTCAGACATTGCCCTATGGGGCTTAGTTAGCTTAGTTACCTTAGTTGAGATCTACTAGCCTAGAGGGCACTGAGAAAGCATGGGTGTTTTTGTCCTTAAATTCTAATCTGATGGCTTCTACCTTCTATGACAAGGAAAAGAACTCATGTGCCGTCAGAGAGGGAAGAGAGGTGGTAAAGTAGCAAGTTTGAGGAAAATACAATAGGTACAAAATACGAGAGAGTGACTCCACTAGGGAAACAGAAGAATAGAGAAAATTGAAGTTTGAAACACATATCTATAAAATTTTTAGTTGTAGATTCACTATCTTAACATAGTTTTTCTTTCTCTCTTTCCATCTCTTCCAACATTCCTAAGCAGCATTTAGTTACTTGGACTACATATGGCTAAATTTAGGGTGGCAGTTGACTTGTGATTGTATGAGAGTGGGAAGAATCATTAGACCTGTTGCACATCATCTTTTAGAGAACAGAGACAAATGACAGTTTTATAATCCCATGTCAGGGTTCTGTTGTTGCTTTTGAATACATTGAATAAGCATAGATTGATTGAGTTCTGAATATTTTCTCATTCTTAATTACAACATAACTTTGTAATGATATCAGCAAATTCTGAATCATTAAAACATTTGTTCACCGTTGTATATCTAAAGGAATAAAGTATGCTTAATAGTATATAACATTTAATATTTTTTAATCAAAACAAATTTTTTAAAAATCTTTTCATTAAAATACATCTTATTCTGTATATATTGCAGATAATTGAGCTATTTTTCTATAATGGAAGGTATGAGAGTCTAATTCATTATTTGTGAAGCTACATGCAAATGCTTTGCCTAAATAGGGTGTTTTTTGTAAGTTTTTGAAAGTTCTGTGTATCCATAATGGTGAATATTAGCATGAGGGAGGTTATATACAGAAAGGTTCTATATAAATATGGTTATAATTTATACAAAATTATAATTTATAATTTCCAATCCAAAAAGGGAAAATATGAAGCAGGCAATATTTCAAAATACAAAAATGTAAGCATATGGATAACCTATTTATCTTGTTGTTCTTTTTAGGATGGCCTTGTGAAAGCTGATATGGAGAAATTGACATTTTATGCAGTATCTGCTCCAGAGAAACTGGATCGCATTGGTTCTTACCTGGCAGAAAGGTTGAGCAGGGATGTTGTCAGGCATCGTTCTGGGTAAGGAAATTAATTGCTGCCAGTAATGTATCTTTGGGAAATTCTTTCTAGGCTAAATCATCCTATAAATTATTTTGTCATCTAGTCAGGCAGAGATAATATATGGGGGATAAAACATTATAATATTATACAGAGAAATATGGAATACCCATATAGATACTATATCTTTTATTTATTTTCTGGTGGTCAGGTTTTATAAATAGACTCATGTTAGTTAACAGAGTTACCTTTAGCTTAAGCAGCCATTAATTTTTGAGTCTTCTCTAATGGGAAATAGTAGAAACTAACTCTGTTAGTCTGTCAGTGCAATACTGTATTTTAAAAATCAGTCTCTAAATTGAAAACAAACGGAATGATTTTGGTAACCAAGTGATTTTTTTTCACACAGCTTCAGTTTTACCTTTTAGAGGAGTCATAAGAGAGAAGCATGTTAGGCTTAGCTAGTAAGGTTCAGAAGATGGAAGTACACTGACTTGGAACTATGCTAGCTATATTCCTACCTGTAAATAAAGGTCTACCATCTTAATCCATTCTCTAAGATTAAACAGCAGTAACTTTGCAATTTGGATTATACATACTTTCTCATATTGTCATTTTATGATACTAGTTTCTTAGAATATTCCAGTCCCCAAGTGATATATTGGCTTTCTCTACCTCTACTTAGAACATTTTAGTGAGTCATGGCACAGATGGTTTTATAGTTGATTTATTGATGGTAAGTTATCTAAAGACTGAATTTTAATTTTTAGTATAAGAGTTAAAGCCTGATGAACTGTAAAGTAAAATTTATGAGATATTTCCATGTAATATTCTGTTGTTGCTGATAGTATTTTGTCTACTCATATTTACAAATATAAGTAGGTTGTTTTGGAGATGTAAGCACATTGCTTTAATAACTATTTTGGGTCAGATACAAATAAATATTGTTAAAAGTCTGGAAAACAGAAAATGCCCATATTTGCAAAGCAAAATACAAAGGTAATATTAAAGAAACTCTGAGAGAATTGTTTTAAGGAGAAAATGGAGTAGTGCAGTGTAGTTTTTGTATACTTCAACATAAAGATTATTTTATAATTTACTAAGATCATTAGTGCTGTTACTAAATTTGCCTTTCTTTGTGTTCTTAAATATACTTATTTAAGTTATTTCAATGGAAAGTACTTGGGAGGATTAAAAGAAGTAGAATGCTTTGACTTTCTTTTTCTTTTATACTTAGGTACGTTTTAATTGCTATGGAGGCATTGGACCAACTTCTTATGGCTTGCCATTCCCAAAGCATCAAGCCATTTGTAGAAAGTTTTCTTCATATGGTGGCAAAGCTGCTGGAATCAGGGGAACCAAAGCTTCAAGTTCTTGGAACAAATTCTGTGAGTAAGAACTATTCTCTTACTAATATTAAGTTTAATTAGCATATCTATTAGGTTATTAAGTATGAAATGTCTCATTTCCTTAAGCACTAAAATTTGAGTTGATATCTCTGCCATTTCACTGACACTTTTTGATTTATTTTTATCGTGAAGGTACATCTTCAGTCTTCCAAACACTTTGGTCCCTGGTGCCAAAAAGGTTGGGGACTGCTGCAGTGTTTAAGGCATTGAACCCTATATCAATACTGTATGTTCCCATTCAGATTTTTATCAACAGCTGGCAGAATCATATATCACATATACTGTTTATAGATAATTATTTTCTTGTATAGAGAGAGGAAGTATAGGAAATGCTGATAGCATGAATTCAGAGTCCAACTGCCCTAGTTTGAATTCTGCCTGCACCCCTATCTAGCTTCTATTTTGGGCAAGTTATTTAACCTCTCCTTGCCTCTATTTTTCATTTGTGAAATGAGAATAATAATAGTAACAATCTTATAGGATTGTTGTGTGACATGAGTTAATATATATGAAGCTCTTAGAACACTGTTAGTTAATATTGGTAGTATAGTGCTTTTTTTAAAAAAAGTGAGAGTATATAAATAAAATCCTCATTCAAAAATCCTTAATATGATTTTGTTTAAGAGGGAAAAGATTGGATATTTCCAAATGCAATTAGGTGATAGTGATGAGCTTGGTTTCAGACAAAGGAAGCTATTAGGCTTCTCCTATTTCCTTTACAATTATTAGATGAGGAAAAGGTCTAGGAGAAATGGTTTAATAGCTGAGTGGAAGAGTGTTAGTGTACTTTCCCAGAAGTTTCTTTACTTGCAGCCAGAAATACCATTAGGATTACTTTCATGAGTCATTTGGGCAAAAGACCAAATTCCCCAGTTATCTGCTTTGATTTGAGTGAATTGTGTTAAATGAAATGCCATGTTATCTTGACCAACATTACTTATCTAGTATTCCTTGATGACCTAATTTTAATTTATTGGTGGTGCTGAATGTCCTATATTGTCAAACATGACTGTACGGATTTAATATTTTTATATTTATTAATGGTCTTTGTAGATTTTAATTTGTTGACATTTGCCTCTTCCTGCTGATGCCAACTCAGTATGACACTAATAGATACTATTTAGGTTTTCCTTTGTTTCAGAAATTGTGCTAGAAAACTCTTAAGTTTTGCCTGTTTTATATTCTAAACTGTTTCAAATACAGAACACTATTGATCATAATATAGTATACCTGTATACACACTGATTCAAAAGAGAAAAATGTTAGATATCAATAAATTATTATATATAATATATATTATATATATTTGTTACAAATAATATGTAATGGTAATATATGTTAATAATATGCAACATTGGTTCAGGTTTTTTTTAAAGAAATAATACTGTATGTGCTAGGTATTTGACATATATTTTGTCATATGATTCTCACAAAAACCCTTCAAGCTGGAAATATTATTCCCATTTTCTACATGATGAATTGCAGCTAAATAACTTGTCCAAAGACACAGTGAAGTAATGCTGTATATAACATGGGGATTCAATCCCAGGTCTGTCTTTCCCCCAAACTTGTGTTCTTTGCAATGTAAATACTTGTCATTATTGTGCATTAAGACTTACGGAAAGCATAGATTACTTTCTTTACTTTCCTCCTCTTGTTTTCTAAAAGTTTATTATTAAAAAGTTTCTTTTGTGTTTATGTGGTATTTGATATTCCACTTGCTTCTTATTTGGATGTAGTTAATGTAACAACTAATGAAAATTAAGTGTGTTTGTTCCACATTTTAAAGAAGGTGATATATATATTGCTTATATTGTTATTTTTATTTTTTAGTTTGTTAAATTTGCAAATATTGAAGAAGATACACCATCCTATCACAGACGTTATGATTTTTTTGTATCTCGATTCAGTGCCATGTGTCACTCCTGTCATAGTGATCCAGAAATACGAACAGAGTATGTATTATTTTACTTTATGATTTATGGGTGAATACCATGTGCACATATTACGTAATGATTACCAAAGGAAATAAGAATATGGCTGCAATATAATTTTCCTTTGCAGTTAGAAGTTATAGACTGAAATAGCAAAATGAGAGTGGCTTCTTTACTTACTCACCAAAATTCAGTCTTTAGCAGACCCTACAGTGTCACTTCATGTTCCCCCTGCCTGTCTCAGAGCCTGTCCTGCTTTCTTTTGGCTTTCACTCTAATCCAGGCATGTGGGTCTCCTTGTTGTTTCTTGAACACTTTAGGCACATCTCTTCAGGTCCTCTGGACACACTAGTCTCTCTGCCTAGAACAGTTCCCTAGGTGCTCACGTGGCTTGTTACCTCAGTTCATTCAGATATCACCTTTTCATATGAGTCCTCCCCTCGCCACCCTTTATTTATTAAATATCGGCCCTCCCATCCCACCTGCAGTTATCCTTTACCTTCTTACATATCTCTTGTGTTTCTCACTCCTCTGTGGAATAGAAATTCCAGGAGGGCGAGCGCTGTGCTTCAAGGACTGCTGTGTCGCTAGCACTTTGGAGAGTGCCTGGCACATAGTAGGCTCTCAATAAGTATTTTTTGAATGAATAAATAGATAAATTGGATGAATGAATGAATGTGTTCCAATCATTCAGTGTGAGGTTGTCATAACAACTGTTTTGGGTATTTTTAAACATTTCTTGTATATGTATCCTAGTAAAAATCTGGAATTAAATACTTTATTTGCAAACACAATCTATAGGTTGATAGCTATATAGAAATGAGAAATTTTAAAATTAAGAATTAAAGTCAAAATGACCTTGGTAAATATAGAAAGTAGTTTGTTGCTATTATACACCTAAAAAAGCAAGAAATCAACCTGAATTTAGGCAGTTATGGGCAGTTGATAATCAAGATTTTCCATGTTTTGTAGTTTTTACTTTTCTTTTAAAATAAATAAAGGAATATGCAGAAATATAACTAGCTTTTAGTTGGAGCATGCAAGCTACAGTGTTAATTTACATGAAATGAACACAAGTGTAAAAGTTACTTTAGCTTAGAGAAGGAAAGCTGAGAGGCGATTAATAGTTGTTTTCAGATAAAAGATACGGTTTCTTTCTGTGATGCTGTTGATATAATTTTTCCTTGGTTAAATATTATAGTCCATTTAGAGTCCTGTTATTATTCCTTTATTATGAAAAATAAAGCCTTAGAGGTAGAGATACTATAATAATTAATTTCCTGTTGTCCCAGTTACTACTAAAATTCTTTTTTTCTCTCCCTAAAGGACATTTAAAAATATTTTATAAAAACTGTTCTCTCTCTTCAAAGACTGATATTAAGTTAATGAGGCAAGAAGATATAAAAATTAGTTAAAGAAAATGGCAGGTTTTCCCCAAGATTTCAGCAGTTTTGCTTTCTTTTAAAATATAGAAGATATCCAGAATGTATTAATAGTATGCTTTTCTTTAGATAGACATTTCTCAAATTATGGTTAAGGTAAATTTCACATATAAATCAACGTATGTGAAAAATACTTCTAATACTCATAATGTTTATGAAAGATACATTTAAGAAATTCAAAATTAACATAAGGTATCTTATTTTTAGGTATTTATCGCCCCCTAGTGAAATATCGTCTTAAACATATTTCCACCTGTTTTTCATTAATGTTTACAAAAAGAAATTTGAAATTTTCTTTTTTTTTTTTGAGACAGAGTCTCGCTTTGTTGCCCAGGCTAGAGTGAGTGCCATGGCGTCAGCCTAGCTCACAGCAACCTCAAACTCCTGGGCTCAAGCAATCCTACTACCTCAGCCTCCCGAGTAGCTGGGACTACAGGCCTGCGCCACCATGCCTGGCTAATTTTTTCTATATATATTAGTTGGCCAATTAATTTCTTCCTATTTATAGTAGAGACAGGGGTCTCGCTCTTGCTCAGGCTGGTTTCGAACTCCTGACCTCAAGCAATCCTCCCACCTAGGCCTCCCAGAGTGCTAGGATTACAGGCATGAGGTACTGTGCCGGAAATTTTCTTTATATAAATGAAAAGGCTTATTATAGCATTTTTTCATAATTCTAGGTCTGTCTAATATTTTATGATTTTTTTTGAGACAGGATCTTGCTCTGTCACCCAGGCTACAGTGCAGTGGTATCATCACAGCTCACATGACCTCAAACTCCTGGCCTAAAGCAATATTTCTACCTCAGCCTCTTGAGTAGCTGGGACTACAGGCACACGCCATCATGCCTGGCTAACTTTTCAGTTTTTTGTAGACATGGGGGTCTTTCTGTGCTGCTCAGACTGGTCTCGAACTCCTGGCTGCAAACGATCCTCCTACCTTGAATTACAGGCATGAGGCCAACATGCCCAGCCCCCAATATTATATGCTATTTAAAGTTCCATAATGCCAACATTTCATTTGAATCACTGTAAAACAAACGAGTAAACAAAAGTGTTATAAAATACTTAAAGGTTTCAATTTTTTTTTTCTTTTTTGCTTTGCCTTAAATAAAAGCCCCTTTGATTTTCTTCAGGTGGATTTATATTCACTTTTAGATTCTAACTTAGCAACTAACTTATTAGCAATCCTTTTATTTTTCACAGTACTCTGGCAAATAGACTTAGTATGTGGGCAGTAGGAGATGGGGCTGGTAACTATTTGGATTTTCTTAAAATATTTGCCTTGTAGAACTTGTTCCCAGTTGTAAAATCATACATCAGTCTTAAGCTCTAACTCTGAAGAACCTTAGGCTGTGGTGGAAATCATCATCATCATCATCATCATCATGGTTAACAACAGCAGGAGCAGCTAATACTGAGTGCTTACTGTGTGCCAATCATTTGTTTAAGCATTTTACATGAATTAACTCATTTAAGTCTTTATAACACTTTTATTCCACAGGTATGACAGTTCTATTTTACTGATGGGGAAACTGTAAAATTCCTTTAGGGGTCATGCCTAGAATGTGCTGGTTAGGCCAGATACTAGGTCTGGATTGGATACCAGCTGTATAGCTGTAGTAGCTATTGGTAGTCGCTGCCATCGTGCTCCCACCACCTCACCATAAGGAGGGCACCACCCTCTGCTGCTGCTACCGCATTTAGGCTACTGTATCACAAGGCATGATACATGTGTCAACATGTTTGTTCATATGTTCTGTGCCACCTCGTGCTTGGCCTTCTCTTCACCCAAAGAGTAGCGGCAGATATATAAAGCAGGAATGTTAGGGAATGAATTCATTCTTTTGTAGGAAGGTTAGGCTTGCCCACTGTGATAGCTGCACAAGAGTCTCTCAAGACTTCTTTATGTTTTAGAAAGCAGCATGTGTAGACACAGCTTTGAAACAGGGAGCCTTTGTCTTTATATCTTCCAATTCATTTTTCTCACCTGTTTAGTGTCATATTGTTTACACCTCCCATTCTCTATCTGCTACTCCTGAATATCTGCATTATTTCCCCATGGGTTTGTAAAGCAGTATCATTCCCTTTCCCATATCTTTGATTCTTTATACTTATTTACAGTTTTTGTCAGACAATGGTAAACTGAATAAACCTAATTGGTAAAGAGGAAGGGAGTAACAATCATATTGGGCCAGAAGGAAGATGTTTTGAGACAAATGGGCCACCGGGTTAGCTCTGCTTGAGACTGTTCTTTAATAGCTTTTGTGAGCTGTTGTCTAGTTACTTGTCTTCTCATTGTTTAACTTACAGATTTTTCTTTTCCTTTTTTTTTTTTTAAAGAAGAATGAGGAAGAACTTAAGAAAGTTGGGGACTATGAGTTGGGATGGAAGAATAGGGCAGCATTCTCTTACTTTATTGATAAATTTTAAATCATGTGATCACATTATTATATGCTAATGTATATATGTCTGTAGATGCCTGTGTATGTATATGGCTGAGGTTATCCATTTTGATCTTGTCTTGCCTTTAAAAGAACCAGCTTAGTCTTCTGTGTAGTTGAACTTAAAGGAGGCGAGTGGCTCTCAGGGGAGGAACAGGGAGAGAAGTCTGAAGACACATGGAGAGTGTTCAGGAACAGTGAAATCCTGTTTCAGTTCAGCTTCTGAGACGTCTAGGCAGAAAATGCAGAGCATCTAGTTCATATTAGTTTGAATTATTATCACCATCATCATCATCTTAGTAAATCTGTGCTTTTGATTTTTTTGTTGAAAAATAATACATGGACTAGGCAATTCTATATTTTATAGTCCTTTTAAACTATATAAATGCTGATTTTGAAAAGATGTTACTCAGATAATCCTGTTTTGGACATATCTCGGTGTCTGTCTGAAATTTTTGAGATTTAATTTCTTAGACTAGTGTGTTATTGTAAGATGTTTTATTTTATTGTAAAGATAGCAGTATTTACTTCACATCCATTCTCTTAGCTAGGCAAACAGACTTGTTTAAATAAAATATTTTAATAGCTCAATTTCTTTTTTTATAGAATCCGAATTGCTGGAATCAGGGGTATCCAAGGTGTGGTTCGCAAAACAGTTAATGATGAACTTCGGGCTACCATTTGGGAACCTCAACATATGGATAAAATTGTTCCATCCCTCCTGTTTAACATGCAAAAGATAGAAGAAGTTGACAGGTATTGAATAAGATGTTAGGGTTGAGCCTGTGTTATTTTTGTATATTTGTATGTGTGCTTGCTAGGGTAAGAAAGTTTTGTCTTTAATACTGTGTAAATAGTAGTTTCGTAAAGTTGAGTGAGTTCAAAAATATATATATTTCTGGAAAAATTGTTTGTAGTGAAACATTAGTAAACCATAGATTCATGGTTACGTATGAATAATATTCATACGCTTAAGCGTTTATTTTCTTTCAGAATAAGTTTGCACTTTACTTGCTGTTTATTACTGAGCATCCAAATTGCTATTTTAATTAACACTATTTAAAGTTGTAAGTGTGAGAAATAAAAATTATAGCTCAATTTCTGTTATTCTTCAGAGATCCAGCATGCTTTTTCACAGGGAGTTAGAACTAGACAAAGTAATAATAATAATAGCTATTCACTGTATTTAAGATTAGACCCTTTATTTCTGATTCAGTCCCTCCCCCCCAATTTTGTTGCCATACACAGAGATAATGTGTGAGTAAACTTCAGAAGCAGGATTCTCCAGTTGGGTTTATTATCCTTAACTTCTTGTTTCTTGCAGTTTGAAGAGGAAAATTTGAATCAAATTTGAAAGGGATTTAATTCTGGTTATAAGATTTAAATTTTATTTATAATTTTCATGATTATATGTGCAATATCAAAATAAAAGTGGTCTAGAAATGAGATGTGACTGATAACTTCTATGGTAGCACTGATATGTTCATTTAAATTCACAATAATTACAAAAAGGATTTATGCTTAATGCCTTAGATGTGACTGCCTCCAGCTTTGGAAACTTTTCCAAAAGTGTGAAACTTGATGTATTTTAGCACCGTTTATATTTTTTCTACTCTTGGCACTGTAACTGAGATGAAAGTTTCCCTATCTGAAATATTTACTATTTAGAAGGTCACTAGCTAATTGGGAACCCATTTGTCCCATAGTATGGCTCTTATGGTCCAGGGTCAGCATAAGTAAAATATAGGAAATAGATCATTTATTGTCAAGTCTTAAGAAACTATATTATCTCATGGTGTAATCCCAGTTCCACAGATATGCTTTTTTAAATTATTATTTCACATGAATGTGTGAGCCTAAAATAATGTTTTAAGATGTGAACAAAACACATCTTGTACTGTGAACTGAAGATACCAACATATACAGGTATTTGAATTAGCTTTTAAAATTTATTTCTTCTTTACAGGTAGGGTCCTAGTTTTCCACTTTATTGTATTTTTGCCCACTTGTAGTTAAACTGGAGATACCTAAAGGTGGTCTCTGGGCACTGCATTCTTATTAAGATTTTGCTGTAAATATAGAGAAATTATATGAAAGTGAACAAATAGCAAGCTGGTATCTTATGTAAAAGATGTTCTTAGAAACAAGTTGAAACAGCTGAATTTAGTGCTCTCTGTTTGAAAGATTATATGATTAGCTTTGGAGGTAGTAAATTCATGAAGTTAGAATTAAGCTTTAAAGTTATTTGGGAATAAAAAATATTATTTTAACATTCCTGAGAGGTAAAGTATATTCTTCAGAACTAATATTAGAATTCTTATATTAGTTTTTCTTTATTGCTCTTTCTTTTTCAGTCGCATAGGCCCTCCTTCTTCTCCTTCCGCAGCTGACAAAGAAGAGAATCCTGCTGTGCTGGCTGAGAACTGTTTCAGAGAACTGCTAGGGCGAGCTACTTTTGGAAATATGAATAATGCTGTTAGACCAGTTTTTGCGTAAGTCATTGGTGTTTTCCTGGTTATTTGTAACTTTGCTATGTAAGTTCTGTGTTAATTTACTTACAGAGGATAAATACTTGTGTGAGTGTATTATTAATAGAAGCAGTGTGGAAGTAGTACAGAATTGAGTCAGACGTCATACATTTGAGTGCTGGTTCAACCACGGAACTAGTTTTTTCCCTTTAAATTAAAATGAAGTGTGATAATGTGCTTAATATCATGTGCAACATTTAGCCTTGAAATGCGTACGTGCAGTGAAATATTAAACTGAGTGTCCAGTATGATGTATATTTTTATACTAACTTCTGTGTCAGTTCCTCCTATTCCCTGGCTTCTGTTTCTTGCCTGTCTTTTTGCCATGGCTGAACTGTCTTAGATCACATTCACTTCTCTGAGTAAATTTCATCTTTTACTTCAGACCAAGAATATTAAATATCTCATTGGGGCGTATATGCTGTTCATCAGACAAAATGCCTTTATGAACTTTGAATTTCTCTATATAGACTTTCTTTCTCAAGCCTTGTCAAGCTTTTGTGTTTCTAACTTATTCACCAGCTATGACTACAGTATAATATTCTGTGTAATTTCTAGACATTTTTGCTAGTCTTTCTTTTGTTAACATTCACTTTGCCCTTTTCTCTTTCTGACTGTAATGATGACTTTGTAGCACATATAAAATATTCTAATGGTAACATCCAGAATTCTTTATTTAGGACAGATGTTCTTGGCCTAAGGGTTCAAGGTGGAGCTTTAGTTACAGAATCTGTAAACCACAAAATTATATTAAAAATCAGAGAATCATTAGATTTTCAAAGGGATTTGTAATCCTCCCTCCCCCCCCCAAAAAAAATATTGAGGTCTACTTTTTAGAGACTCTTTGAGCTTATGGAAATGCTACTAAAAAATAATCAGAATGATGTCAAATATACTAAAGGCAGATTTATTTTTTAATGTCCAGACATGCTGACTTAACATCAGAATTCTAATTTTTATCTTAATACTCTTATTAACTGACAGATACTCTATAAGGCCTTAAAAATCTAGAGAACTAGCTAGTGCGGAGGAAAGAAGTTACCAAATAAACTGTATTTGAGTGGCTTGAAGTGGGTTGTATTCTTTTCTACAAAGAACTTAATGCACTTTATTTAGTTAATTAAAAGTTAATTAAATATTATATAATTATATATTAGCTATTTATTATAGTTAGTTAATTAAATATCAAATGCCCTCTGCAGATGAGGTACCAGGTATTTGGGGAATATATGTATGAATAACAAACTTGATGGGTGATTCACATGCATGATATTTATAATATATGGATTATGAGAAGAGGCCAAAAAGTGCTCTAGCAGTTCAAAACAAAGAATGCATGTCTAATTTGAGAATTTAGGAGCAGTATCTTTTGAGATAGATGAAGATAGGTATCAAAAACTGCTCTGGGAATTTTATTTGTAAATAATGCTTTTGTTCAACATTGAAGTAGGTTTTAAATTTCAGTTGTTACTTGATCTCGTAAAGAAAATAAATGATTCAAAAGAAATTTTGAATATCACACTTTTAATTAATAGTGAGCACAAGACAATGGTAATATTCGCCGGAGTGCTAGATACAGTTAAGTTGTTAGTATGAGATAACAGGAAGAAAGTTTATACTGTAAAGATCTCAAAATTTTATATATTTGTAGGTAAATAGTGGACATCTTAGCTCAAATGGCCAGAATTGCCCTTTGATAAAGTTAATAAGATAAAGCTATATAGGATGGATTTGAGCCAGGGCCAGTATGTTAGGAGATAGTATAATAAAATTCTCAACAGAAAAGTATAAGAACTGTAATTGGTATCACACCTGAAGAGGTAAATGAAGTTTAGTTTTCTGTCTCTTAAGAGCAGAGTGAATTTTGAATTTTCTAGAAGAGTAGCAGTTCTTTTTAATTTCAGGGAGTTTTACAACTTCTTTTAATGCTTACCAATTTACTTCAGGAGGTTTTAAAATTCTTTTCTACTTAATTCTCCCTTAATTTAGTTTAAACCTACAGTTTTCCCTATTTATCTTTCTTTGGAAAAAAATTATTACTTTTTTGTATAATCTTAGCTACTGAAAAATATCTCGTGCTCACTGTTGATAAAAAATGTAACATTCAAAATTTCTACTTAATCATTTCTCTACTAGATCAAGTTAATAGTTGAAATAAAAAATCTACTTCAATGTTGAACTAAAGCGTTCTTTGCAAATAAAATTTCCAGAGTAGTTTATTTCCCATTTTAAGAGTCACTTTGTATAGTCATTCATTAACTAGAAATGAATCACTTTTGTTTTGGAACTCACTAATACCAGAAGATTTTTATGAGGTACTGATTTTTAAAAGTATCCCACACAGTTACTATCTTTACTTTGAATAAAAAAAGAGATATAGTACAATGTATTATATCATTGTATATAGTACAATATAGTAATAAAAATTTCTTTGTATATTATCATATTAGTGTATCAATGTTATTATATACTTTTTCATGTACTATAAAGTTTAATAATAAAGAAGAAAATTGTTAATGTGAAGGTAAATGTAATTTTCATGATATATTTTCTATGTAAGATACTTTTTCATTTTCTCTTATTAAATAACATCTGACTATTAAGGACCTGCCTATTTTATGTTTTGCAAACTATGGTTGTGATTTTTGTTAACTGGAATATGTTCAGTTCAAGATTTCAGCTTTTGAGAAACTTAATAGAGTTAAAATGCAACAAATAGAGGTGTATCATAGTAGGATTATGGTCACTCTTGCTATGGAAAATCCTTTTGTATATTGAAAACTACAAAATTTAGTCTAATTTTTTAGCATAAACATCACATCAGTGTTTGTAAGTACTGGGGAAAATTTTGAGGGAGTGGGATAGAAGAGAAAAAGAGGAATAAAGAAAGATTGAATTAGAGTTCACATTGTACATTGTCCGACACTGTGTGTGTTGATTTCACTTACTTTATCTCATGTAATCCTTTCAGTATAGTTACCCTGTAAGGGAAGGTATTATCACTCATATTTTACAAGTTCTTTGCCTTGATTGATTCTATTTATTTTTTGTCTGTCTGTCTGTCTGTCTGTCTTGTCTGTCTATCTATCTATCTATCTATCTATCTATCTATTGAGACAGAGTCTTGCTTTGTTGCCCAGGCTACAGTGAGTGCCATGGCATCATCCTAGCTCACAGCAACCTCAAACTCTTGGCTCAAGCAATCTGCTGCCTGCCTGCCTATCTATCTATCTATCTATCTTACTCTATCTATCATCTATCTATCTATCTATCATATCTATCTATTGAGACAGAGTCTTGCTTTGTTGCCCAGGCTACAGTGAGTGCCGTGGCATCATCCTAGCTCACAGCAACCTCAAACTCCTGGGCTCAAGCAATCCTGCTGCCTCAGCCTCCCAAGTAGCTGGAACAAGGCATGTGCCACCATGCCTGGCTAATTTTTTCTATATATATTAGTTGGCCAATTAATTTCTTTCTATTTGTAGTAGAGATGGGATCTCGCTTTTGCTCAGGCTGGTTTCAAACTCCTGACCTCGAGCAATCTGCCCACCTCGGCCTCCCAGAGTGTTAGGATTACAGGTGTGAGCCACACCTGTAATCAGGTGTGGCCTGCCTTGATTGATTCTGTACCTCTGAAGATTGCATGAGAAAATTCTTAGCTCTAAGTTATTTCTCAACATTTAAAAATCCTGTTGAAATAAACTTTGACATTTGGAAACAACACTAGACATCTGGATGTCAAATGTATGATAAAAGATAAAAGCCCTTCATGTTTCTTAAACTTCTCCACAAAAGTTGGTAGAAGAGAGTAAACTCATGTGTTTGACCACTAGTTGTCAGGAACTAGTCTGAAGTAAGACACTGGACATTTCTTTGAAGACTAATGTTTTATTTTATAAATTACTAGAAATTTTATATACCATTATATACTATCTTCATGATTTTTATATAAATAGGAAAAAGAAGTATCTTTCCCCCCTCTAAAGTCTGAGTAAAATTCCAGCCAAAGGAATAGTAAGGAGAAATTTTTAGACCTCATTTGGCCCCTTAGTCCTACTGTGCTTAAATGTCCCTCTAGTATACACATTGTGGAATTAAAATAATTTTTATTCAAACTAAGTATATGTTATCATCAGTTCATTTTCAAAATGCTTATGTGTGAGTTTCCTCAAGACATGGGGAAAATTTTATTATTTTTTAAATTTTTGAACAACTCAGCCAATTGAATTTGTGGCTCTACTTTTTCTTCCTTGTGCCTCATTGAGCCCTCAATATGAAACACTCAACCTTTTTTAGAAACATATATTATGAGTAATAAATTGTGTATATAAATCTTGAACAGTGGTTCTCAGAAGTTAGTATGCTAACTTCCCAGACTCTTTACCAATTAGAGGACTTAAGTCTGCACAGATTTTGGTATACTTGGGGGTTGGGCAGGGAGGTAGGGGTTCCTGGAACCAATCCCCCCAAAATACCAAGAGATGACTGTCGTCTAATAATTTATTGTTGTCGTATGACAGAGTTTGGCAATTGGGGAAAATGTGTGTTGTATTTCTAGAAATTAAAACCTTGGTTTTCTTTTAGATAATATTCTCACTGTTAAGCTTTTTCCATTGTTGAGAGTTCTAGAGGAAGAAAGTGTAATAAAAATAGCAAATTCTTAAAATAATTTTTAATTATTATTTGCAGGCATTTAGATCATCACAAACTGTGGGATCCCAATGAATTTGCAGTTCACTGCTTTAAAATTATAATGTATTCCATTCAGGTAAGGTTCATTAACTATTTATCACATTTATATAAGTAATTTTGGTTCTATATAGATTAGAACATCATCATAAAGATACAGAAAATGTAGGATATAAAATATATTCTTTTTTTTTTTTTTTTTGAGACAGAGTCTTGCTTTGTTGCCCAGGTTAGAGTGAGTGCCGTGGCATCAGACTAGCTCACAGCAACTTCAAACTCCTGGTCTCAAGCAATCCTGTCTCAGCCTCCCAAGTGGCTGGGACTACAGGCATGTGCCACCATGTCTAGCTAATTTTTTTTATGTATATTAGTTGGCCAGTTAATTTCTTTCTATTTATAGTAGAGACGGGGTCTCGCTCTTGTTCAGGCTAGTTTTGAACTCCTGACCTTGAGCAATCCGCCCGCCTCAGCCTCCCTTAATTTAGCTATTTTTGTCTCATTTTCATTTACCACTTATTTTCTTATTTGCCAAGATGAAAAGATAGCTAATAAATAGAACTAAATAATTTTATGATGGTGCTCTTTATTGTGCATTTATTTAGTGCACGTATTATATATTTCCGTGATGAACTGGTACTGGAATTCACATTTACTATAGCAGCATATAGCTGATAATAACAGCTCATGTTTATTGAATATTTACCAATGGGCATTAAGTAAAACACTTACCTACTGCAGAGGACCACCTTGGTTTATCTTACAACCTCAACAGACCCAATTCAACAGGGATATCAGGTCTTTTTTATACCATTTACATTTTTAATGCCCTAAAAAGTCATCATTACTTTAGAGAAGATAAAAATTGTAAGTAGCACGGATTTTAATATAGGTCATGTCAGGATACGTATTCTGGGTATGCTGTTTACTGATTGAATGAACTTGGAAAAATTATTTAGTCTCTCTGAGCTCTGGTTTCTTCATCTCTGTAAAGAAGATTTTAATGTATACATTAAGTGATTTATATATTAAAATAGCAGCTACCGTTTTTTCAAGTGCTGGCTGTGCCTCGTGACTGTGCTAAAAACTTTAAATGCCATATGTCATTTAATCCTCATTACCCTATGAAGTGGATATTGGTATAATCTCTATTTTCCAAGTCAGAAAACCTACCTTTCCTGAAGTCAGGTAACTCACTCAAAGACACACAGAAAGTGAAATCAGGGTTCATATTCTGATCAATTTTATTACAAAACTCGTGGTCTACATTAGACATTAAGTTAAAGTTGATATCACATGCCTAGCATAAAGTAGGTCTTTAATAAATGATAGTTACTATAAAGCTGGTGTAGATACAGAAGAACAATTTTTTAAAGTTTAATTTTAATTTAGTAAGTGAGAAGTAGATCTGGTAATCTGTGGACATAATCTAAGGCTGTTCTGGTCTTTTCCAGTCTTGTATTTCTCCTTCATTCACCCTCCATTCAGATTTAGTTGCTAGATGAAATCATTCTTTGCAAGAAATAAATTAATAAAGTTAATTACAAAGTTGAAAAAACTTAGGAATCAATAAATATTTGCTGATTAAATGTTCATGAAACTATTTCTGGTCCACAGCATTGCTTAAGAAAGTTTTAATTATAATGTATGTTTTATGAAGTCTATTAATCAAGAATTAAATAGTAGTATACACCAAAACAGGAATTTCTGTTTAATTATACTGTCCTGGTATAATTAAAACTTATGATAGGCCGGGCGCGGTGGCTCACGCCTGTAATCCTAGCTCTTTGGGAGGCCAAGGCGGGCCGGATTGCTCAAGGTCAGGAGTTCAAAACCAGCCTGAGCAAGAGCGAGACCCCGTCTCTACTATAAAAATAGAAAGAAACTAATTGGCCAACTGATATATATATAAAAAATTAGCCGGGCATGGTGGCGCATGCCTGTAGTCCCAGCTACTTGGGAGGCTGAGACAGAAGGATCGCTCGAGCCCAGGAGTTTGAGGTTGCTGTGAGCTAGGCTGACGCCACGGCACTCACACTAGCCTGGGCAACAAAGCGAGACTCTGTCTCAAAAAAAAAACAA